TTGTAAACGGTTCGAGATAGCCGTGGTGAAATCTCGGAGTGAATCCTATTGGCAAGGGTTGTTTGCCAAACTAGTGCGGTGCTTTGACGGAGTTCAAGAGGCCGGAACTTAGTGGATTCGGAAATCCTTGAGGAGGAGCCTCGAGGTACTGGAGTAGGGAGTTTCCGAACCAGTATAAAATCGGTGTGCATTTACTTTACGCTTTTACTTTTGCGTTTTATATATTGCTTCCGCATTTGCCAACACCGTTTTTATCAAACTCCAAAAAGATTTTCAAACGCCTTATTCACCCCCCCCCCCCTCTAAGGCGTGGGCACAACGACTAAACCGACTAACAATTGGTATCAGAGCGGTTTCGTAGTTAAAAGTGCTTAACCGCACCTACGACAAAGATCCACTTGTTGTGTCCCTTTTTAATTTGAATTTTTAAAATCTCAAATTTTTTTCTTCAAATTTTTAAAAATTCAAATTTTTTGAAATATGGCCCAAATGTATTTCCAAAGCATCCACCGCCCTCCGTTTTTCAATGGCCAAAATTATTCTTATTGGAAAATGCGGATGGAATATTTTATACAATCCATTGATTTTGATTTATGGATAAATGTACTTCACGGGCCATTTGTGCCGAGTAATGGTAGCCTTGCAGGTCTATCATCGGAGGACAAGAGAAAATTGTCCATGAACGCTAAGGCGATGAATATCCTTCATTGCTCCCTTGGACCCGATGAGTTTGCACGTGTGTGCTCGTGCAAAACGGCCAAGAAGGTATGGGATTTGCTTCAAGCCACGCATGAAGGCGACACCTCCACGAAGCAAACCATGATTGCCCTAGGAAACTCGGAGTACGAATCCTTCAAGAAAGGGCCATGTGAGACAATCCAAGATATGAACAAAAGATTCAACGAGATTGTCAACAAATTGAGTAAGTTGGGTAAGACATATACTACTTCCGAGCTTAATACGAAAATTCTATTTTCTTTACCTAAAGAATGGCATAGTAGTATAGTAGATTTATTACCCAAATGTGATAAGGCCGAAACAGCCCACATTTGGTCTTCCTTGTATTCTCATGAACTTTTGTTGAGAAAGATCAAAGAGGAAGAAATGCGTGAAAATCCCAAACTTACCAACGCCTTCAAAGCTTCAAAAGACTCGTCTAGTGAAGAGTCTAGTGAATCAAGTGATGATTCAAGTGACTCAAGCTCTTCGAAAGAGTCAAACGATGAAGAAGACAAAGAGAAGGCAATGAGAATGAAATATACGGATTTCCTCAAATGGAAGAAATATGTGAAGAGGAAAGAAGTATATTCAAAGTCGAAGAAAGAGCGGCATAAGCCAAGGTAAGTTCTCCTCACTTATTGGGATAAGATATTTTGTTTGGTTTTAATAATTTTCAAAAATAAAACCTTATCCCATACGTGCTTTCATTTACTTTAGCCTTGGTTTGCATGATTAAATTTTTTTTAAATTCATCCTTAAATAATGCTTTTTAGAAAATAATCCCTAAAAATCCCTGAAAAATAAAGTTTTTATACTTGCATCTTTTTAGGGGGAGTTTTTATTTTTAGGGGGAGTTTTGTTGTAAATGCACCTTTTGCCCAATGATCTCAAAACTATCATTTTTCCTAAAACTTCATTTTGATAGGGGGGGGGTTTCAAGAAGTTATACATGGTTAAAATTTTCAAAATGGCCTTTTTGATTTTGACAAAAGGGGGAGAAGATGTATACTTCAAAGTGGTGCATATGCAACTTGACTTGAGTGCATTCTTGTGTGAACTTTTGCATCAAACTTAAACTTTTAATAAACACAAGAAAAAGTTCAAAGTGAGTATTTTAAATATGCTTATTCTTAGGGGGAGCTTGCTTGCTTCATTATTTTACTCCCGCTTAACTCACTTTGAAGTATATTGTTTGTCAACATCAAAAAGGGGGAGATTGTTAGCCTTGGTTTGCTAAGCCTCATGTTTTGATGTTAACAAACAATATAAGAGCTTGACGTGTGTTTAAGTGTTTCAGGTACAACAAGAATCCATTAAGATTCGGTTCTCAAGAATGAAGTCGAAACACCAAACTAGCGTAGAATTTAGGTAGAAACCGATGTAAGGATATGATTTTATATACCTATATTCACAAGCTCAAAAGCACTCACAAAATATGTTTAAAACCCTTTTATAATCATTTTCAAACATCCAAAAGGTTTTAAACAAAATTGGAAATGATTTGGACAAAAATGAAAAAATTGTCAAAATGGTCATAAGGTACCTAGGTACCGTATGCACGGGACCCCCCTACCGTGTGGACGGGACCCCACTACCGTAAGGGGTACCGTAAGAGATAGGTACCGCCAGAGAGTTTTGGCCTGAGAAGGTACCTAGCTACCGTAAGCACGGGACCCCCCTACCGTATGGACGGGACCCCCCTACCGTGACCGTTGGGTTACTGTTCCTGATTTGTGATTTTGAATTAAATCAACCCTAATCACCTCCCAACGGCTAATTAACATCTTCCACTATAAATACAAGCCCAATCCTTCATATTTCTTCAAGAAACAAAGCTCTAAACATCCTCTCTTTTTATTCTAAGTGTGTTCATC